CCGCGGGAAGGACGGGGTCCTCAGTGACCGCGGAGGCACCGGCCCTTGCCCCCCTCCATTTTAGTCACCCCGTCCATTTCGGTTCCTCAAATGTGCCCAGCTCCTTCCTGCTCGGGGCCCCTGCTCACCGAGGCAGAGCGAGCAGTGACAGACCACGGCCCAGGGGACACACCCAGCTCAGCACTTCCTGGCCCGCCACCTGGGTGGGCAGAGGACTCCCGTACCTCAGTTTTCTTCTCTGTAAAATGGGGCCCCACTGGTAACTCAGGGAGCTGCGCGGACCAGGGCGCGGGAGGCAGGCTGCCCCGGTGGGCAGTGTCCGGAGCTGGTCACCTGCCCTCCCTCTCCCTAGTCACCGGTCCCTCCCACTCTCCCCCAGAGCGCCACGTCCCAGACCTTAAACAGCAAACGCCAAGGCCTCCGGCTGGGAGGGCCTTGTTGGGGGCACCTTCGCCTGGTGAATCTGTACTCATCTGTCTCTGGGGCTAAGGCCCCCCCACCAGCCCCGGGGGCAGAGGCCTCCTCTGTCTGGACACTGCTTTTCCCATCAGAGGGGCTGGGCCGGAAGAGCCTTTCAATAAACTGGAAGGAAGGGCAGGGGGAGGGCAGGAAACACCCCTGGAGCAGAGTGGAGGGGCAGAATCCGAGGCAGACGCAAGGACTTGCACGGTGGAAGCGGAGGAGCAGAGGAGGCGGAGGAGCGGGAAGGGAGTGAGAGGCGAGGCTGGGGAGGAGAGATAAGGCCGAGCTCAGCCCTGGGCTGCGGCCTCCCTGGGAGCCAGAGTCCATTATCTCACTTAACACCTCAGGGCAGCTGTGTTCTCACAGGCGCCTGCCTCAGGCCAGCGGAGGTTAAGGGTTTCAGCCAAGGCCGCAGGCTGGGCCGGCCCGGGCCCCAGAAGTCATACCTTCCAGTGGAGACCAGGCTGCCGGGAAAGAACGGGAAGGGCGAGAATCGGCAACCGGGACAATCCAGCAGCCCCTCCCCGGCCCTGGCCCTGACCCCGCGGCCGGCGCTCCTCTAAGTGCTGGACACACAGCAACCCAATGAATCCTCGCGAGCCGGTGACTCAGGGGCACCTCATGGGGGGGAAACCGAGGCCCAGGGCGGCCGACTCCCTCGCCCCAGGACGCAGGCCTAGCTGGGAGCAGCCTGGCTCTGACCACCACCACCCATCACTTCCGCAACCCATGACAGACACCCGCAGAGCCCGCCCACGACCTGAGGCCCAGGCACTGGGGGGAGATGTGAAGAGTTGGAGAGTGATGGCCACGGCCCACAGCCAGACACACCAGGACAAGAGATGGAGTGGGGAGACGGAGAGGAAAGGGAACGAGCGAGACAGGGAGAGCGGGCAGGGGGGCTACCCAGACGCGGTGACACGGGCAGGGACCCAACCGGACGCGGGTACAGAGCCCCGGAGAGGCAGCGAGGCAGGGAGAGAAAAGCAAACGACACAGGGCAGCAGTGACCTGGGACCGACAAACCCGAGACAAGGAAGACGGCATGTAATAGAGAAACGGGGGGAATCTGGGTCCGATCCTGGCCACCTGCTCCCAGCAACCTCCGCTGGGAAAGGCAGGAGACACCCCTACCTGGCAGGCCTGCTGGTGGCTGAGACAGGCCCATCCAGGGCCGGCCGGGTAGCTGTTCTCAGAGGAAACCCAAGCCCGTCCACGAGGGGGGCATCGGGCATCGGAAGACCCCCGGCCCCGCGCGCTCACAGCGAAGCGCATCAGGAAACACACGACCAGCTCACTCAGGTCCCCCACCACCACCACCACGCTGCTTAGCACCAGACTAAGCTCCACAAAAAGTGGGGGAACCGTTCCATTCAAGAGAGGGTGGGGGGCAGGACAAAATTCTCCGGGGGGGCCGGCCCCTCAAAACGACCGACACATTACCTGGCAGGACAGACACGCCGCAGCGGGGGAGGCCAGGGCTCCCCGCAGCCAATGACACGCTTTCTACCTGCCGGACAGTGGACGGCGGCGGGCACGTCACCAGCGCCCCCTCCCCAAGCGCGCAGCGGCCCGAGGAGCAGCGACTGC